CCAAGGTGCTACATTCCATATTTTATTTTACACTAAGAATTCAAACTTTGGAACTTTCTTGACAATGCAAGAAGACAATAGAAATGTGAGAACAATATGATATATCTTTACAAAATGCCTGGAATGTCATCAGCCGCTGGCCTTCACAGTTCAATGGTTATTGTGCAGTTGGTCATACAAACTCATTTTAAGTGCTTGACACCGTGTAAATGAAGCTATATCTGTCCACAAGGGCACCTCTCTGACCCTGAATTGTAAACAATGTGGATTTCTATTGAGATAAATAATTATAGGAGGATAATTTGAAATCAAATATTGTCTGTGTTATAGCTGGGAAGACCTTCACTATGGAATATAAGAGGTCTCAAAACTGTTTGCTCTATGCTACGCATTTTATTCATTCTAAGAAATCAATAGGACAATATAGGAAATATAGAGAGGTATGTAAACGATAAAGTCTAGGATGCTGAAAAAAATCTTTACATTTTCATGAATTTATGGTTTCAGCTTTTTCTAGTGATTTTTCTGAATTTTTCAGGAAGGTCAAATGCTTTAAACATCAAAACAAATGCTAATGAAGTTGAAAACTACTTAAGCCCAGTGCTAAGAGTTTCCAACACACTTCATTGTAACCCAAATAAATATGTGCTCATCCCACTAAAAAAATAAATAATATAAATAAATCAATACTACAGTCATGACCAAAAATATTGGCACCCCTGCATTTCTGTCAGATAATGAACTACTTCACTCTGAAAGTATTGCAATTACAAATTTTTAGGCATTCTCGTGTTTTTATTTCTTTTGTTTGTATTGGTATGACACAAAAAAGTGGAGAAACAAAAAGCCAAATCTGACACATTCCATGCAAAACCCCAAAATTGGACTGGACAAAATTATTGGCACCTTCTCAAAATTGTAAGAAATAATTGTATTACAGGTTTATGATACTCCTGTAATTTGTAATTAAACTCACCTGTATCAATTAACAGATCCTAATGTTCCTGTGTCCGCTATGTGCAACATTGTCAAGAAGTTTACAGCCCATGGCACTGAAACTAATCTCTCTTGACGTGGCCGAAAGAGAAAAAACTTGATCAAAGATTGCAAGGAACGATTGTTAGAATGGTGAAAAAAGAACCTCGATCAACTTCCAGACAAATTCAAGCTGACCTTCAGGCCCAGGGTACAACTGTGTCAGCTTGCACTATATGTTACCATCTGAATGAAAAGGGACGCTATGGTAGGAGACCCAGGAGGACCCCACTGCTGACACAGAAACATAAAAAAGCCAGATTGGAGTTTGCCAACACTTACCCGAGGAAGCCAAAATCATTTTGGAAGAATGTGCTGTGGACAGACAAAACAAAAGTACAGCTTTTTTTGGTAAAGCCCATCATTCTACTAAAAATATAAATCATCAGAAATATAAATGAGGCCTTTAAAGAAAATAATACAGTCAAACATGGTGGAGGTTTACTGATGTTTTGGGGTTGCCTTGCTGCTTCAGACACTGGGGGGTTTATTTACTAAAGCTGGAGAGTCCAAAATCAGACTCCCTTCTGCATAGAAACCAATCAGCTTCTAACCTCAGCTTGTGCAATGAAGCTTTGGCAATGAAACCTGGAAGCTGATTGGTTTCTATGCAGAAGTGAGTCTGATTTTGCACTCTCCAGCTTTAGTAAATAAACCCCCCGATGTCTTGACTGCGTGCATGGCATTATGAAATCTGAAGACTACCAAAGAATTCTGGGGTGCAATGTAGGGCCCGGTGTCAGAAAGTTGGGTCTCCATCAGAAGTCATGGGTCTTACAGCAGGACAATGACCCAAAGCACACATCAAAAAGTACCCAGAAATGGTTTCAGACAAAGTGCTGGAGAGTACTGAACTGGCCACCAATGAGTCTAGATCTCAATCTTCTAGAGCACCTGTGGAGAGATCTAAAAAAAACAGAAGTTGGGAAAAGGAACCCTTCCAATCTGAAAGACCTGGAGCAGTTGGCAAAAGAAGAGTGATCCAAAATTCCAGTAGAGAGGTGGAAGAAACTCATTGATGGTTACAGGAAGCATTTGATTTCAGTTATTTTTTCCAAGGGGTGTGCTACCAAATATTAGATTGAGGGTGCCAATAATGTTGTTCAGTCCATTTCTGGGGTTTTGCATGGAATGTGTCAGATTTGGCTCATTGTTTCTCCACTTTTTTGTGTCATACCAATACAAACAAAAGAAATAAACATGAGAATGCTTAAACATTTGTAATTGCAACAATTTTCTGGGTGAAGTGGTATATTATCTGGGAGAAATGCAGGAGTGCCAATATTTTTTGGCCATGACTGTATAAACCAAATTCTAATGTCCGTGAAACACCCAAAAACATATTGAATTATAGCAAGCAAAATGTAATTATTTGTTAGTAAATAACTGAACCGAAATGTGCATACATAAACAAAGTGTCCATTTAGGCCCCTTTCATGTGTGCGATCTGATCAGGTCCGCCCGTCAGTATTTCAGATGGACCTGATTAGAAAGTTCATGCATTCCTATGGACAAGCAGGTATAAACAGACTTTTGTCCATTTACCCCCACCTACCACTGAGTCAGAAGGGGATCCGTCCTCTTCTGTTTAGGTGGATTGGATCGAAGGGTAGTCAAGGAAGGCACATGAGCTCAAACACTGCTTCCAGAAGCATAGCCTCCTGAGTCTATATACGGTCTTGCTTTAGAATCCCAATCTGGTGAGGCCCACCATGAAAAAGAGAGCCTCATATGGAGTAATACGTTTTAACCTAATGTTTATTAAAATTCAGTAAAATACTCACACAGGACAGCATTGCAAAAAGTGCATATGTAAACACACTGCCAATGTTGAGTGGGCAACCCTTGCTACTGCACTGCACCTCGATCAGTTGCCAGCCACTCCACCTTCTGATTTCCAGCACTGGGTTGCTTTAGCACCTTACTGTCGTGCTACTACGTGTTCTGTTTCTAGGGAAATTTCTTCAAGAGGATCTAGTATTTGTATTTGTGTTAATGGATTATTTAGCACTGAGTATTGATTATACATATAGTTTAGCAATATTAATTGGATTACCATTAACACTTTAGAGATTGGTGCATAGCGCGGAGGGGGTGTAATTATTTATACTTTAAGGATCTATGAATGTCTAAGGTGGATAATTTTTCGATAAAATAAATTTAAATTTAAGATGTGGTGGTTGCATTAGTTTTTTCAGCTTCCTTTTTCCTTTTATTTTCACCTGATGTTTCTACAAAGAATACATTTCCTGTCCTAGAGTGGTAATGCTCGCTTACTCTACGATATCTATAGATGAGCTGCATTGTCATCCTAGGTTGTCCTCCTAATGTGGCTACAAATACCCTCATCTATCTACATAACATAAGGAGGAATTGTTCTGTAGTTCACAGAAGAAAACTGGTAGGAGCTGATGACATTGTATGACTTTTCAGTTCAGTGCACAGAAAATTACAAGCACATTGGATTCTAAAAAGATTAGCAGGTATTTTTGTACTTGTGGAAAAAAAAATTGAGCACTGTCCGTAATACTTTTTTTTAATCGCATTAAGTTCCAAATTTTCAGGACAAGCTTTTTAGGGTGTACCCCCTTCTTTAAGGTCCAAGCAGTACAAATACACAAAACAGTTGATTTACTAATGCCCTGTACACACGGTAAGAAAATCTTCCGAAAAATTTCACGAAACCACTGCTCATCCACAATTTTCTCTTCATTGATGAGCAGGATGTTTTAACCAATAATGATATTGTGAACGATAAAATCCAGGTGAACAACAGTGAAAAATGTTGTCGTTTCGCATACGAACAACCAATTTTCTATGCGGTGGTACGACGGTCGTACGGAAAAAATCTATCAAGTGCTATCACGCATGAGCGGAAATAGAAGATGACCCGGATGTTTATGTCCAAGGAATCTTCGTAAACACAAACGAAAAATCCAAATGTTAAAAGTAGATTGGCCTAATGAGATGATGAAACCAGAATTCTGCAGATTATATTTTATGTATCACTATTTATGTATATAGGTCATGTAATAAACGATATTATACTCATTGCTGGTAATCGTTGTGTATATCGCTCGTTCTGGCCGGAAGGGCGTGGCTACAAAGTCACACACACATCGCATCACTTCCACTTGTACGGAAGACGTCAACACTACATATTGTCCAATGAACGATTTTTTTAGATTGGTTAATGTGGGCCACGATATCGACCAATGAACGAACGCCTCTCGGCCGTCGGATGAACGATTGGTCGATTTTCTAATCGTGTATTCCCACCTTAAAGCTGGAGAGTGCAAAATCAGGTCCAACTGTGATTGGTAGTCAATCAGCATCTTCTGTCAGCTTGTTCAATTAAGCTTTCACAAACTAAACTGGAAGCTGATTGGGTTTATATACAGAGCTGCACCAGATTTTGCACTCTTCAGCTTTAGTAAATCAACCCTTTGGTGTATTAGCACTGCTGTTTTAGCAGAAATTTAATAAGGCAATCTCTGGGGAGATAGCAAGTGCACTAATACGACTAGAATCACCTCAGAAAATATATTAAGCCTGAAAAATGAAAACTGGTAAGTTTTAATAAATGAAATCCTTCTTCTTGGGTTTAGATGTACTTAAAACAAAGGCCAACTGGCCACCCAATACTAACCCTTCTCAGCTGTAGTTCACAGATTTGCCCATAGGATTGGTCATATGACAGACACATTCTACCATCAATGCTGTCCTTCGCTGGCGTTATTAAAGTGTTACTAAACCCAGGACCCTGCATTCACTATATCTGGTCTCCATGGACACTGCATTCACTATATCTGGTCTCCCCAGACCCTGCACTCACTATATCTGGTCTCCCAGGACCCTGCACTCACCATATCTGGTCTCCCAGGACCCTGCATTCACTATATCTGGTCTCCCCGGACCCTGCATTCACTATATCTGGTCTCCCAGGACCCTGCATTCACCATATCTGGCCTCCCCGGACCCTGCACTCACTATATCTGGTCTCCCCGGACCCTGCATTCACTATATCTGGTCTCCCTGGACCCCGCATTCACTATATCTGGTCTCCCCGGACCCTGCATTCACTATATCTGGTCTCCCAGGACCCTGCATTCACTATATCTGGTCTCCCCGGACCCTGCATTCCCTATATCCGGTCTCCCCGGACCCTGCATTCACTATATCCGGTCTCCCACAGTACACAGAACATGGAATGCAAGTATTTTATTAAATATAAACTGCTAAATACCTTTTCTCATCAGCAGTATATAGCACTCTTGTGACTTCTATCAGTGGTCAGCAGAGCACTAGTTAAAGCTTGTAGGAGGAGTTTTCATTCTCCCCAGACTGTCCTATGAGGCTGCAGGACCCCTGACCCTCTGTCTAGACATTGCTGATTGGCCCTGTGCTAATCACATGTATTCTCCACAGAAAAAAAAAATCTTGCTATACACACCAAATTGAGCATGTGCAGCTTGCCCCCAATGCTCTGGTCTATCAGCAGATGGATTGGGTACAGTAGAAGAAGGGGAGGATCAGAGAAGACAGGATCAAACAGCGTTTTTTACACAATGCAGATGATTAACCCCTTAGGTTCCACAGTGAGTATACCAAGCATGTTTTAATGCATATACAGACTGATTTTACTGTTGTGGGTTTAGTAACACTTTACATTTTCCATTTCATGTCCAACAACATATTTGTCAGTCTCTAAAGAAATAACCTGTAGTGTGGCTGATAATTGCGAGAGGAGGTCTTGTGTGAACTCCAGACACCTTAAAGTGGTTGTAAAGGATAAAGGTTTTTACTTTCATACATTCTATACATGAAGTTAAAAAACCTCCTGTGTGCTGCTCCCCCCACAGCTCCCCTTATACTCACCTGAGCCCCCTCTCGATCCAGTGATGTTCATGGGAGCCTCAGTTGTCCAGGGTCTCTCTCTCTTCATTGGCTGAGACACAGCAGCAGCAGCCATAGGCTCCCACTGCTGTCAATCACAGCCAGTGAGCCAATAAGGAGAGAGGGGGGGGCTGAGCCACAGATCTATGTGTCTTATGGATGCTTGGAGCAGGGTTTAGGAACGAGCACGCACCAGTGCCCTCCATAGCAAGTGGCTTGCTATTGGGGGCACTGGTGAAGGGGGAGGGGCCAGGAGCACAGGCATGGGACTTAAGAAGAAGAGGATCAGGGCTGCTCTGTGCAAAACCATTGCACAGAGCAGCTAAGTATGACATGTTTGTTTTTGTAAAAGAAAAAAACAAAACAAAGCTTTAATATCACTTTAATAGAAGGGTGTCTAGAGGTTACAAGCTATGAGTTTGGGTTTTCTGTTCATTTACCTTTTGATGCACCCTTGGCTACTTCTGCTAGCTCTCTCTCTTGTTGAGAAAGCTTCACATTCACAGCCTGCTCTCTGATTGGTTGAAAATGTGTAGCTGGGATGTGGAAATGAAGAATAAGGACTGCAGGTTCAAGCAGCTACACTAGACACAAGAACGTATAACAATGATTTTTTAATTTACTTTATTTATATTTGCATTTGTTCAGCAGGGATGCTAACTTGCTCCTTGGTATAGAGATAGTCACTACAGGAAGACTATACCAGTCTGTAAATGTTAAAAAACAGCAAGTCTACTTGTAACTAAAGAATTATATAATTGCCTTTCCGGTGACCTGTTTATTGAAAAGCCAACACATTTCTTTGCCCTAACCATTGAAAGTATTAGGCTGTTGGGTGAGTCAAATACCTGCTTTCCCTCCAATGTGGTTCCTCTTGCTGACTCGTATTTCACTACAAGATTGTCAGCTGAGTTGAATACTCCCCCCTCCCTTCCAGCCACTGTGGTTCCTTCCTTTGGCTCATATGTCATTACAGGACTGTCAGATGAGTTGAATGCTTGCTCTCCTCCCCAAGTCGCTGTGGTTCCTTCCACTGACCCTACAGGACTGTATGACATGACAGGACCATCAGATGAGTCAAACAGTTGTTCCCCCCTTCAGTTTTATGGTTCCTTCTGCTGGTACATATGGCACTACAGAACCATCGGAGGAGCTAAAGTGGAACTAAAGTGTATCTGAGCATCACAAACTGAAAACACTATTTAATTCATTTTTAATGATCAAAGCAAACTCACCCATTCATCCATGTCTCCATGCTTAATTTTGTCAAGAAATTACTTTGACCACTTGCCCTCCAAAAGATTTTACCATCTTCCTGACCAGGCCATTTATTGCTATACAGCAATGAGTAACTTTAACTGATAATTGAGCAGTCATGCAACACTGTGCCCAAATTAATCCATATCATTTTTTTTCACACAAATAGAGCTTTCTTTTGGTGGTATTTGATTACCACTGGGTTTTTATTTTTTTGAGATATAAAAAAAAAAAAGACCAAACATTTTGAAAAAAAAAAATTATATTTTACTTTCTGCTATAAAACATCTCCAAGAAATAATATGAAAAAATCGAATTTCTTGAATTCTCCAATTTTTAGCCTGCATTTTTGGTATAAAAAATCCCAATAAGTGTTCACTGATTGGTTTGCACGTAAGTTATAGTGTCTACAAACTATGGTATATATACTGAAATATTTATTTTTATTTTTATACTAGTAATGGTGGCGATCAGCGACTTATAAGGGGACTGTAATAGTACGGTGGCCAATATGACACTAACTGACACTTTGTGGGAACCAGTGACACTAATACAGTGATCAGTGCTAATAACATATATTGACACTGTACTAATGACACTGAGCAGGAAGGAGTTAACATCTAGGGGCAATTAAAGAGTTAATTATGTGTCTACTAGTGATTACTGTGTGTAAGGTGTACTGTTTTTACTAAGGGATGAGCCGTTTGTTATTCCCTGCTTTGCAGGGGAAAAATAAATGGCTCATCCCCGCTGACAGGACAGAGCTATGTGTGTTTACATTCACTGAGCTCTGTCCTATACTCTATTTTGCTGATCAGCGGATCCCAGCCGTCAATCATTGGCTGGGATCAGCTGATCGACTTGTGCTGTGTCCAACCCCTACCCAGAAGAGCTGGATCATGTATGTGATTTGGAGCAGGAGAGCTGACTTGCCACCGTACTTCTACATGAGAGAGTTGACAAATGGTTAAAAAAACACCTTAGCATTTTTAGCTTTTGCCAACTTGAGTAAGGGCAGATTATTCATGTTGCATTTACTTTCTGGAATCCATTTCATCCAGAAAAAAAATGCCCATGAAGATGTATAACATCATTTTGGCCTGAGAGATCAGGCAGCAACTTAAAAAATGTAAAAATAAAGTTTAAAACAAGTAAATATAATATACCTTCCTATCTATTTACTAAGGCTACCAGCAGGAGTAACAATAATTAATTTTGATTGAGAGAGTTTAGTTCTACTTTAAATACTTTTTCCCCTCCTGCCACTGTGGTTTCTCCCACTAGCTCATATGTTTCGTTAGGACATGCACGCCATTGGGAGGAACCATAGTGGCCCATGGGAGAAGAAGTTTTGGACTCATCTGATGGGTGAGAACCCGAAGTTGCTAGAAGTTGTATATCCTATGGCTTTTAAATACATAGGCTACAAGAAAGTTATAAAAGAAGAGAGGGGCGCCAAACTAAGTGCAGTATTAGCAATGGTTTAATTGCACACAAAGATTGGTAACTCACTAGATACAAGTGGGTCAGAGGCATGTATAACAGGTGAACATCATCTTAATGGAGTTTCGGAGTCAGGAAGGGGAGGATAGATGGACATCTGGGGGCCAAGTCTGTGGAAGAAGCCAGGTCTCCTGACTCACATTGTGTCCTGACCAGCGTGCCACAGGCTGTGTCTCTGTCGGAACCAGGCTGGAAAGCAGATGGCTGCCGGGCGGAAGTGACATCACCACGTGAGTGTAATGCTGCAAGGAGGGGGCGGTAACGCGTTTCAAAGCTGCTGCTTCTTCATCAGACCTAATTGGTCACTGAACCGGCCATCTAAATAGGGAGCTGAGGGGGTGGGGAATGGCTGTATGGGACGAGTCTGACCGCCCTCAAAACACAACCAGTACAGGAAGGGTAATATCGAAAAGCAAAGGGGAACAAACGGAATGGAAAATATACAAGATATGATATGATATGATATGATTTTCAATATATCTTGTATATTTTCCATTCTGTTTGTTCTCCTATGATTTTCAATATTACCCTTCCTGTACTGGTTGTGTTTTGAGGGCGGTCAGACTCGTCCCATGCAGCCGTTCCCCACCCCCTCCGCTCCCTATTTAGATGGCCGGTTCAGTGGCCAATTAGGTGGCCAATAGGTCTGACGAAGAAGCAGCAGCTTTGAAACGCGTTATCGCCCCCCTCCTTGCTGCATTTCGCTCACGTGGTGATGTCACTTCCGCCCGGCAGCCATCTGCTTTCCAGCCTGGTTCCGACAGAGACGCAGCCTGTGGCACGCTGATCAGGACACGATGTGAGTCTGGAGACCTGGCTTCTTCCACAGCCTTGGCCCCCAGATATCCATCTATTCTCCCCTTCCTGCCTCTGGAACTCCACCAGGATGACGTTCCCCTGTTATACATGCCTCTTGTATCTAGTGAGTTACCAATCTTTGTGTGCTATTAAACCATTGCTAATACTGCACTTAGTTTGGCGCCCCTCTCTTCTTTTATCTTCTACTACAGAGTCCAGCTTAACTCTGGGGGTGCTGCCTCATGATGGTGCTGATTACAAACTGACTATTTCCCTACTACTAATGGGGCTTTAAAGTGTTAACCCCTCCTCTCCAGTGTCAATAATTTTACCTTTTGTTACAAGAAAGTTATATAGACTCTTTTTACAGGTATATTGTTTTGTAAAAGTGACACTGTGGTCATAAAGTCACTTTAAAACAGAATATATATAAAAATACATAGTCCAACACTCCAAAAAGCTTTCCTTGCAATACTCCCTGTCAATCTAACATTGTCACCTGCAGAAATTCAGCATGTTTCTAGATGGCACTCCTCTTTGGGTTTGAATGATGGCTAGTTTCATTCAACCCACTTCCTGTAAGCCCAAACTATCATGAACATACTTGCTAGAGGTGCATCTTCATGTTCAATAAGTTCAAATTTATTATTGTATGCGTAGCTTGATGGCATTATATTTGTTAAATCAAATGAGTTCAGTTGGGCTTAAAGGTATGTATTGTATTTCGTTTTAAAAACAAATATGGGGGTGTTAGGGGCTTGGAGGCCAAAGATGGGGTTTAAAAATCACTTTCAGGTAAACATTATGAAGTAGTAATTAAATGAAAATATATATATTCCCTTCATCATAGTTTCCCCTTAGCAGCCTCGTATTTCCAGGGAAGAAAAATCTCTTCCAATTCAATTTTTCTCGGCATGTTAAAAAAAAAAAAATCCAATGGCTGCGCCTGTGTTAGGCACATTGAATAAATGCTGGTGTTACACAGTTTCTTGTCACACCTCACAGCAGGCGTTAAAAGGTGGGCTAATTATACCTACAACAAGGTCAA